GATCCAATTTGCTTCTGAAAACCTCCATCGATGTTTATGACCAGAGCATTTTTTCTACGATATGTGCATATATATATATATATATATTTAAAATATATTCTGGTTGCTCAAGCAATAGAAAATAAGCACCCCTTGAATATAATATGTCCTATTAATGCCACTTGTTAGCAAAAAAAATATTTTATAATCATCAAAAAAAATAATAAAGACTAGGTAGTCACCATTAAAAGTAACTGTGACTTAGATACTGATTACCAAGCCATACTAGAGGTCACCCTAGATAAACTAGGTAATATAATAATCTATAGTATATGATGGTTAGGTACTAAATAAGTTAAATATGTATTATGTATAAGGTTGGAATTCTATTATTCCTTAAAACACTACCTACCTAAATAACATAATACTTGATGAAGAATATGCACTTTTTCAATAAAATATATTAATATTTTGTTCAGTAGACAGGTAAACAGGTTAGTACAAGCACATAGGATTCATATATTGACCAATACCTTAGCTAGGTATAGAAATGTATATTATAAATATGCAATGCGAATAGTGTAATGTAGGTAGGTAGTTTTGATTTATAATATTTATAATAATTTTACAACAAAACCGTATAATGATGTGTAGGACCTAGTGTAGGATATATGTTATATGTTATATATTATGTTATATGTATCATTTGGTGCTGTCAATGAGTGACTTCACATTTCCATCAATAAACTATAATCAAATTTAGCCATTGTATAACTTGTAAATACAGATTGTAAATATACTAAATTTTGTTCAATAAAAAAAGGTATATGTATACTTGTATAATATATACTATTGATATTACTTTATATATTTACTTTTTATTTAATGTCTTAATATAAATTATTATTTATTTTAAACCAGTAATTATAATTTATAATGGTGCATTGGTGCGATATGGCATGCATTTACAAGTAGGTGCCTATGTATGTATATAGTTTGCATTGTGTATCTTAATACACTATGTGTATTAGATAAATAATTATAACATTTAAAACCATTTAATTTAAAACTAACAACTGTTACCCACCTACTACATACCAACCAAAAAAAATTAATAAAAAAGGTGCTCTGCTGTACAGTAGGTTACAAGTGGGTCACTGTATAATGGATGATATTAAAATTGAATTCAACGATATAATATCATTGTATAAGAAAAACGATTCTGAGCGGAGACGGTATGTCAGTCTAGGTATAAGACATACTCGTATTATATACAAATCTATGGTATTAAAAAAAATTGACCTATAATAGGTACCTAAAGGATGTCGAAAATCGAATAAGCGAATAATCGAATAAGCTGGTATAGCAATCAAACACCACAATATTATGTTTTTCTGAAATTTCTTACTATATTATACTTTTCTCAAGAATCGCTTAGGTATATTATGTGGGTATTATAAACGAGTACCTTATCGAGTGATTACCCGCCGCATGCTGTGTGTCGTCCAAGTCCAATTAGCAATTTTGGGAATACACCATTTTAAGCTTTATCGGAGTTGTAATAACTGAAATTATTTATTCCGTGAAGGAATTGCGTACAGTTTTATTACAATAGGTATATTATATTTATAAATTATAATATTCAAAGGTAACTAATTTAAATGTATAAACTATCTAAATTTGAATGCTCGGATAAGCATATTTATTGTGGCAAATCGTAAATTACGTACCTACATATTATAAAAACAACAATATCACCAAGTATATTTGATATCAATATATTGTACAAATGTACAATAATATAACTAATATAATATCTAAATTAAATATTCTTCATTTAAGTTTAGTTGTAGCTATTAAGTATAGGTGTAAGTTATTTATTTATATAAATTATTAAATTAATTTTTTTCATTGTGTAGCCTACGGCCTAAATCTACTGAAAATTCATAAATAAAGTAATTCACAAGCGATGTAATTAATTATTAAGTTCTAGCATCTAGATAATATTATAATATAATATTTTCTTACCATAGACCTATTATAAATGTTAGTTCCTAGAATGTGGAAAAAATGCTATACCCAACATGCAAGTTCTTACACTGTAAAAAAAGTTGCGTATGTTTGTTCCTACGCCTACACAGTGAAAAAATTATTCCTAACCTAACCTGGAAAAAAATTACACATGTTAATTTTGAACTCGATGATAAATCTTTCAATCTATACGAAAAACGAAATTTGAGTGAAAGCTTGTCAGCCTATATTACTAAGTAGGTAGCTCATAGGCGTAGCTAGGGGGGCTAGCTCCCCCCAAGTGTGAATATTAGCCCCCCAGAATTATTTGTATTTCATGTAGTTTATGGAGTTTTTTTTAATTATTATTAACTGTTTTTGCAGCCCCCCAATATATTTGATCACCCTACGCCTATAAGGTACCTATTAAAGTATATATTTTATCATATTAATTTATTTTACTATTAGTAAAACAGTAAGGGATAGTCGAATTGCACTTATTACCTAAAAAGAAATGGTTATTTTCACTTGAGTTCAAAAAAGGTAATAGTCGAACTGCACTCGTTCAAAAAAGGGTTAAAATTTCAGGGTTCCGGGACATTTGCGGTCGGCACCTTTTGCGTGCCATTTGCGGTCAATTTATTTTTATCTACCTGACTATAAGATTTGGGTGCTATATATAATATTTTATATACTATATATACTTAATTTATGTTAATAGGTTTAATATTATAATACTTTTTTACTATAATCGATATAGTTATATACTTGTCAAATATATTATATTTAAACTTCCCTTCACACTTTTTTTAAGCATTTTTCTAAATCATTATCTAATTCATAGACTACTAATGTTTTTCTAATTCTTTCGTCTAATTGTATGTACATTTTTTTCTCCTTTTGCCTTCCATAGTCTGATAGTCAAGAAGCTTCTTTCATATAAAAGTTCCGCATTTTCAGTCTATTTTTTAAGACAGCTACCTATATAAGTTCATAAACGTTGGTCTCGGTGTATTTAATATTTTATTAAGTTTACTATTCCAACCCTCAACAATATTATTGGTTCTGTGTCTTCTTTTATGACAGTTACACATTCCCCTTGAAATAATTGGATTTTCCAACCATTGTTCAATAAAATAAGTTTATCATTATCGGGTGTGTTACTCATTATAATATTCCAACCTTCACCTATGTGACTAATTGGAATATGAGCTAAAGCAGAACACAATGAACACATTCTAACGTGTAATCGAATATCTGCATTATTTTTATAGGTACTTGCTAATCCAATATTTTGAATTTTTCTCCAAAGTGCTTGATTAAAATAAAAGTTGCAACAGTGTATTTTAGCACTAGGAAATATTTGTGTAATTGATTGAATAGTCGAGATTTCAAAGTCTAATGGAAAAGATTAAGGATTAAAATTTGGAATATGTGTTTTAACCATCGAAAATAAACGTTCGTAAATCATTTTTGTTTTATTCGGAAGTAATATATATATCACAGGTATTATATTTATTTCTTCGTTCGTAGACCCAATATCTATATGTATAGTGTAAATTTGGTAAAATTGTTTACTACAACTTTTAATGCCGACGATGTTAAACATTTTAAAAATAAAATAAAATATAAGTAAACGTTATCACCTTATCGATAATGACATCATTTTTTTATAATAATTATAATAAGGTTTTAAAAAAAATTAGGGTATTATTTTTATGTAAGTACAGTGAATTTTGATTGACAAGTATATAATTATATCAATTAGAGTAAAAAAGTATTATAATATTATACCTATTAACTTAAATTAAGTATATAGTATACAAAATATTATATATAGCACCCAAATCTTATAGACAGGTAGATAGAAATAAATTGACCGCAAATGGCACGCAAAAGGTGCAGACCGCAAATGTCCCGACCGCATCGGTGCCGACACCAAATTTCAGGTATATGGACGTTCACTCCAAATTATCAGATAGGCAATCTACCTACGGTAGATCGTGGACCCCGTGATGTTTGTACGTAAGTGTATGATTTAACTCTAAAAGTCTAAAGTATCAAAGTTATTCCAAGATTGTCATTTTTACTTAATTCCAAGTACCGTGGATAAATATAATCAATTAATACAAAATTCTTACTTAACCTAACCTAACCTTACTAAAATCCTATGAGTAAAAAAAAACAACTTTAACCCTTTTAGCCCATCTTCTCCCCAGAGGTCTAATCTAATATATATCTAACCATATAAATATACAGACTAAACTCTGGTACTACTTATCAGATCTTCTTGTATAT